AATTCTGCAAAAGAATATGGATTTGCTTCTGGCATCACCTACACCAGCTTCACACCAATATAGCTCCATGGCCTTCATTGGAATTACTCCTGGTTTACCCTGGTGTGAGGGTGAGCCGGATCAGGGCCATTTGTAATTGTATGCAGTTGAGAATAGGGTGAAATAGTGCCACGTTTGCCTGACTATTATAGCAGTTTTGACACTATGTCTAAGGACTGGTCTGGACTTGCCAGTTGGGGGTGTCTCCCACTCTGCTAGGCTGGCAGAGTTATCTGTGTCCAAACATGTTTCCTAGCTTACCTGAGTATTCTGCCACCCAGTGGTGGATTAGCCACTGGGCCAACGGGGCCCAGGCCTATTGGGGGGAGGAGGGACCCATAAAAATGGGCGCCCCCACGCCCAGACCTGCTCTGCCCGCCCGGTGCTTCTGCTGGGGAGCAGGGTTTGGACATGGGAGCTTGCCCACTCCAGCCGGGAAGCAGGATCGGGGTGCAGGAGCTTGCCCCGCTCCACCCAGCACTCCAGCCGGGGAGCAGGGTTGCAGTGTGAGGGTTTGCTCCGTTCCACTTGCCCAGCACTCCAGACGGGGAGCAGGGTCAGGGCGCAGGGGCAGGCCCCTGTGTCCCGACCAGAGCACCAGGCAGGCAGAGCATGGCAAGCCCCTGGGCCCCGACCCCACTCCCCAGCAACTGGGCAGAGCGAGGCAAGTCTCCGTGCCACAACCCCACTCCCCAATAGCCAGGAGAGCGGAGTGGGGCAAGCCTCCGTGCCCCGACCCCATTTCCCCAGCAGAAGCGATCAGCGAGGGAGGGGGCTGCAGGCGGAAGGGAGGGTGCCCCACTTGCTCTGGCCCAAGGGCCCCACAAAACCCTAATCCACCCCTGCTCCCACCCACCAATAAATACTCCATTTTAAGATTTCATTGTTGAAATGCTGGTGGTGTCACAAAGCCTGTATCAGATTTACAGAGCCAGACCCTCAGCAGGTGTAAAGCAGGATAGTTCTATTGCGCAATGGAGCGATGTTGATTCCCTCCAGCTGTGGACCTGGCTTTCTGAAAATGCTGCTTCTTACCCTACACAGCCTACGGGTTTATTTCTGGGTACTCAGGGTGGCCTCTCTTGGCCGCTTGGATTTTGCCTGGCAACAGGGTACCTCTCCCTGGCGTGGTTCATTAACTACTGTCTGATCTCAAGCATTTAGGCAGCGAGACAACCCTTAGAGGTCCTCACCCTAAAAATAAGTCTCATTTGAAAAGCAAAGTGGGAGTTTGCTGTGTGGTCTCAAATTTCCTCTAAATCCATAATTGGCTCCTCTTTGAAGTGGATGACCACAGATCATCTCTTTGATGGGTAGGAGACAAGGCCCTCTGAATTGCTAGATTCTAAATAGGGAATCCAGATTGTTCACGAGTTACAGGTTCATCAAAAAAGCCTGAGCTACAGTAGCTCATTATCTGAAGAACACTGAAAGTGCTGGGCACATCGAGGGAAAAAAGTAAAGCTGAGATTACTTTCCCCAGTGAATTGAGGAGAAAGAGCTCTTATATCATTTAATACATTAATATATAGAACGATCAGTAGTGGCGTGGCTAGATGACTGCCTGAAGACCATGTCATTCTGTTTAGATTTGATTTTAATGACCAAGAAACCGACTCGTTAATGTTGCCTGTTCCATTTATATTGGCAAGGGACAGAATCTGATCCCCTTAATCATCTCAAATCTGGAACTGTTTGAGAAGAAAGGTCCTACTCAAAGGGAGCTCAGAGGGATATCGAAATTAGTGAAAGGGAGCTCACTTGCCAGAGGAAAGGTAAATATACCGATTGCTGGATAACATATGTGCCCTGAAATTCTCAGAAGAATGCAGAAGCATAGTGCTGAATCCAGAAGCATTTATCTCCCTTTGACTCTTAACCAATGGCCTATAAAGCTAAAGCAGATCAGAATTTCTTGAGATATAAAGACTTGAAAATTGGTACCATTCACAGGAGAAATGTGCACTAGATACTATGATAAAAGATAGTGCATTAACTTAATTGAGGTTGCTATTTGTTGTGATTACAAAGGAACAAGTTTATATTACTCAGTTTGTAGTGAAGTGCATTCAAGTCCCCAAGTACCATTCTAGTTCCCAAACATGTGCACTGAAGTGTGCAAATTGCAGTTGCAGTAATACTGAACCGACCATCCAAAAGGGAAGATTTTCTGTTAGGAAAGTGACATCACTGCCCCTCTCTTTACCCCAATTTCCTCTCTTTGCCTTTTTTTTTTTTTTTTTTTAAGTATTCCCAGTGCAGGAAAGGTGCTTTGGTTTTGCAGTGGCGGTTTGCATCTGGGTTCCATTAGATCTCACTCGGGATCTGGATTTAGTCCAGTTCCAGCCTCTGCCACAGACTTTGTGTCTGACCTTGGGGACGTCAATTTAATCTCTCTGTGCCTCAGTGACCTATCACTAAAATGGGGGTAATAATGCTTCCTTTCTCATACCCTTTGTCTGTCTTGCTAGTTAGCCTAGAAGCTCTGTGGGGCAGGGACTGTATATGCACAACTACCAGCACAAAGGGGCCTTGGTTTCTGTTGGAGCTGCTGTTCTGAGAATCCGAACCGAACCACCAAAGCTTAGCAGGGTTGAGAGAACGTGCTCCTGGTTTTTCCCATCTCCCTAATGGCCAAGCCAGGGTGATCTGACATTTGGTTTTACCTCAGGTTTTCAGAGCTGACCCCAGGAGTGGTTGTTGGCCTCCTTCCATCGGGGGCCTTGCAGGCAGCTAGCACAGCTCCAAAAGGGCATTGATTCCTGGGGTCCCCAGTGCAGCCTCTGCCAGCAGAGATCTTGTGGCACTCCCAGCACATGCTGACGCTGCCCCAGCCAACCCATGCCTTGAAAGAGAATGGTGGAGGCATGGCAGAATCGCTGCCAGATGTTCAAGGCCTGAGGCTGGCACAGCTGGACTGGGTTAGGTCCTATGACTTTTGAAACAATCAGTACAGTGACATCTCGGCCTGTCGTCCTCGGTAGAATATTAGCTGTAATAACACTGTTCAAATCACCATGTCCCCCTAGTGGCAGGTTGTGCTGTCCTTCAACGATCACTGTATTTGCAATTCGGTAAGGATGATCTTCGTAAAGGTTTATTGTGCTTTTAGAAACTGAATATTCATGCTGATGGACAGCCCTGGGAAGAGGTGCTGTCTGTAATGTCTCCTTAGATAGAAAATACTGCTGCAAGTTGACTCACTTTTACTTTCAGCAATAGAAATCATTTGCAACACCATAGCCCCTGTGTTATTGCTGGGGGGGAGTTGTTCGTTAATAACAAATGTGTATGTTAAAGAGAGAGAGATTATGTCCTCTGTGTAAACGAAGTCTAGGACCCACTGTGGGGAAAATATGATGCCGAGGCGGCCAAAGACTCAGCTGTACTATAGGCTTTAGAATACTCCCGCTAATATCTTGGCCGCTTTAATGACGGCCTCGTGGTAGAGTATGTGATTGATCCAGGATCTGTTCCAGTCCCTTTCTGCAAGCCAGCATGGGTGGGAGTTGCAGGACTGCAGTACAAAGGACGTGAGTGGATGGGCATATCTTATTTTGTTCAACCTTGTCCTCGCTGGCTAATTAAGGTCTTGAAATAAAAGGCTGCGAAGGGAGCTCTTTCTAATCTTCCTTAGCTGGAAAGATGATTGGTGTGATGCAGGGAATAAACGGTTCTTCAGGAATGCTGTAGGTGTGAGCATGGGAGTACCTAGGTATTAAGCATTGATTTGGGTTTTCTGTTGGGCTTATTATTATTATTAGACCAAATAGAGATCGGGGAAATGTTCCAAACTTTTGTCTTTCCCTGTGGGTTTTCTCTGAGATTGCTCTCTATGTACAAACAAGAAGGGCGGGGGGGGGGGGCAGTCGTGGGGAGGCAGCTTCCCTTGAGGGTACACAAAAATCTGCGGGCTTTCTGCAAGTGTTTGTCTTCTGGAGGAACAGCGTGTAGCAGTTCAATTGTTTCCCATTCAGATGTGGGCCCAATTAAAAGGATTTTCTAAAAGCCTGTCAGATGGCTGCTCTGTGTGTGATCCTGCAGTCACTGAAGCCATTTTCAAAACTCCCATCACCTTTGGTGGGAACAGGAAGAGGTGCCCAATTCAGCGAGGCATGCTTGGAAAACGGGCTCAATCCGTGATGGTGCTGCGTGCCCGCCCCTCTCAAGGACATGAGGAGACTCAGAGGGCGCTCAGCACCTCACGCAGCATTCAGCACCGTGCAGAACCAAAACCTATGCATGTTGCTCTGCACTGGAGGGCAGGAAATGCCAAACATGCTGAGTCTTAAGTGAACCCTCTGGCCAGTGCTGGGAATAGCATCCATGCCCTCACCCCCAGTGCCAGGAGATGCCAAACGTAATTTGTGCAAACTTGTTCAAAGCAAACAGTCCCAGCCTGATTTTCCTGTTGCCAACCTAACTTTGCACCCATTTAACACCACTGACTTCAACAGAGTTACTCCCGATTTATGCAGGGATAAGCGAGAGCAGAATCAGCTCCTCTATATGAAGCATTTTCTAGTTTGAGGATGTTCTCCTCCCCCCCCCAAATAATCTGTCATTTTTTAAAAAAATAAACCTTCATAGAACATCCTGAGGACTCCATGAGACTACAATGGAGGTCAGACTTCAGCAAGCAGGCAGCTGGTCTTGCTGCCTCTCTGGAGGCCTTTTAGCATGTCGTTTGAATTGTTTAATGTTAGGACTGGCAAGCAAAAGGCAGGTAGATGTCTTGAAACTTTTATCTAGCAGGATCGTTAATAAATAACCCATCAATAATCACAATAATATTGACAACAATAGCCTATAATTGCCTCGTGTTAGAAGTATGCAAGGGATACTGTCAGAACTAACATTTAGGTTTTGTTTATAAAGGGAAGGGTTAGAAAAGCTAATAGTGTTGAGAGAAATAGTTTCAGAAAACTTACTAAAGAAACCAATGGTTTGTTTTGTTTTAGAGTCAAACATTCCCTTGTAAATGCGAACGTTGCAACTTTGTACCAGCGCATGAGAACCCAAACTGACTAAAAACGAAAGGCAGACTTCCTCGAAATGTTCTAGCACAGTTTTGGTGACAGGTATGGAGACTGGATTATTTTTGTGCTACCCAGCATGCCTCATAGCCCCTCCTCCAGGTTGTCAACAAGACTATTTTGTATCATATTTATTTCACAGTCCCTAGTGTGCACAGCCCCTTGTCCACATTAGCCAGGAAAACCATGCTAGCAAGAGCAGTGTTTATAGACAACCTACATATATACAGTGCCTACACACCCACTCTGTTTTCCCGCAGTCAGATCCACATAGAGAGACCCTAGTGCTCAGCTGGGCTCTGTAGGATGTGATGGGGGATACAAACCCCACACTGGATAACAAGGAGTTAGGCAGCTGCTCTGGGCTCTGCCAGTCCCGCACCCAGGGCCGGCTCTAGGCACCAGCAAAACAAGCAGGTGCTTGGGGCGGCACATTTCTAGAGGCGGCATTCTGGCGCCGGCCATCATAGGCACTGACTCTGTGGCATGGAGAAAAAGTGCCCCCGCCGCCCCAGCTTGCCTCCGCCTGCTCCCCTGAGCACGCTGCTGCCGCTCCGCTTCTCCCCCCTCCGTCCCAGGCTTGCCGGGTGCAAAACAGCTGTTTCGTGCAGCAAGACTGGGAGGGAGGGGAAGCCGAGTGGCGGGGCGCTCGGGGGAGGCAGCGGTGGTGGAGCGGAGGTGAGCTGGAGTGGGGAGCGGTTCATCTACCCCCCCCCCCCGTTATTCCTGCGCCCCCCCACCCTAGCTCACCTCCGTTCCACCTGCTCCCCTGAACGCGCCACTGCTCCGCTTCTCCCCCGTCCCTCACCTGAGAGGGAGGGGGGAGAAGCAGAGCAGCGGCGCGCCCAGGGGAGCAGGCGGAGCGGAGGTGAGCTAGGGCGGGAGGTCGTGGGGGGGGGCGCAGGAAGCAATGGGGAGGAAATGCGGCACCCCCGGGGGAGGAGGCGGGGCCGGGGATTTGGGGAAAGAGTTCAGAAGGGGCGGAGTTGGGGCAGGGCTGGGGGGCGGGGGGGGGAGGACACAAAAAAAGGGGGGGGGTGGCCAAAAATTTTTTTGCTTGGGGCGGCAAAAATCCTAGAACCAGCCCTGCCCGCAGCGCCACACCTGCAAGGGGGAAGTTAAAAGGGGAGCAGAGCGGCTCATTTGTTGGCAGAGTAGGGAACAGAGCAGACCTTCAGTCCCTGAGAAAAGAGCTGACTGAAGCCAGGAGCGTCCCAGACGACCCCTGCGGGAAAGGAGGACTAAATCCTGGTGCACCCTGAGGAGGAAGTTGTTTCCCTCTGCTTCTTACAAACTCAGCGTATTTGCATGAATCCCCCTTGCTTTTGTTCATTGACTATGCTGGAAAGGGACCTGGCTAGAGGGCCAAGTGATGGGGTGAGGCAGGTCACTGCATAGGCAGAGCAGTTGTTGGCAGGAGACACCTGGGAAGGGGAGGGGAGGTAGAGCTGCTACACCATGCCCAGCCAAGAGGAGGCACCAGCGGTGAGTCAACTCCTTCCTCGGGGGTACAGGTGTCTGGGCTAGTGGGTCTGGTTGCAGGATTTGGGGTCATAGGATGGAAAGAGCTTTATTCACACCTGCTCTTGGTTTAGTCCTGAGCAGAGTTCTGGGAGCTCCTCATAAGAACTAATTATTTGGAGGATGTCACGACATACTTCAAACAATTCATCAAGTGAATAGTTTCTTCCAATATTCTCCCAGCTGTAACTCAAGCCAGAATACCCTTGAGTACCAGTTCTGAGGATAGTGAGAAAAAAGACATGATGCCACCAGAGAATCTTTTATGGAGACCATCTCCCACCTAGCCATGGGTCCCCCTGCATGGGATTTTATAAACCCATGGAAGAAAAAGACACTGGTGGGACTGGAACCAGGGAGAGCTTTGGAAACAGAGAAATGAATTACACTGGGTGCCATCTTGAGCCATGTGGCGCTCCATGCTGATTGGAGCAAATCGAGATGCCAGCATCTTCTATCCCTCAGGCTGGCCATACAGACAGTTTATGCTGTGGCTCTCTGGGCAGTCCCCAGGGTGCTGAGTGGCCTCTCTCAAAGTGCTCTGCTACTCAACTCTGAGAGCAGCTTTGCAGAACCTGACGCAGCAAATCACTTCTTGGTGCTCCACTCACACCCTGATGTTTGCATCAACTTCAGTGGGAGCAGGACTGGGTCCTTAGCAAACACTGATCTTTTTCCCAGGAGGCGTTGGGGAATTGCAAAAGCTCTGGCTAAAGGAGGTAAAAGAGCAACAGGCTCTATCCTTTCCAAGTCTGGCAGGAAGTTTTCTCTACAAGAATTTAAGTAGAGCCACCTGGCTTGGGGTGACATTTTAAATTTTTTTAACTCTGCTTTTAAAAGTTTTTGAAATGTATCCCTGGTCTGAGTGCCAGCATGGGGCTTAGCTGGTGGCGAGGTATGAGCTGGCCCGGTGCACAGAGGTGTCCCACTTCCCCAAAGCATTCAAGCATGTGCTAAGTAAGGATGGGCCCACAATGAGTTGGGGGCAGACATGAATATATTTGTAATCCCCAAAAGAGATTTCTGGCGCTGTTCACATTGTAAGTGGCTTCACCAGCTGGTAGACTTTTATCACAGTTAAAATCTCCGGGTCGTTCTTGCTGATGGCTCCTCCACATTTTAACAAGCTTTATTCAGATGATCACCTGCCGGTCAGCACCGACACGCACAGGCATGCCAGAGCTGTTAAGGTTTAGAACTATCCAGGGATCAAGGTGATACTGAGCAGAAGAGCTGTCTTTGGTGATCACTGTTGTGCAGTCAAACACCTCCGGCTAGGAGGAAGTGGTGGGATAATTTGGAACATTAGGAAAGTTTTAATTATAGGGTTTGCTACACTGAAAATCTGACCTTGTGCGTCATCCCTTTTGCAAGCCTCGGCCTTTGGGCAGGAAGCATCATTTAGTGACATAACTTACCTCCTCTTCAGCTCCCTGCTTCAGAGTCAGCCCGGCTCAAGGAAGGAGCAGTGGAATTCACGCCATGTGGCGGGGCTTGGGAGGTGACTCTGTTCTCACTGACTGACACTGGTCTCCTGGGGATGGCAGTGGAGGTGATCTGAATCAGAGCCCAATTCTGTAACTGGGTGTTGTCAGACAGCAGGAGGAATAGCAAGGAGCTGTATAAAGTATAAAACCTCTTGGAATAGCTGCCATTACTGCTGCTGGCACTCTGGCTCGCCTGCTGTCCTGCCCCTTCCTGTATTTGAGTATGAACAAGGCCAGCTGGAGGCGAGAAGTGGCTTACTTACTTTTAGGCTTTAATTGTCAAAAGCGAGCAGTGATTCCGGGTGCCCAGATTGAGGCCTGACTCCCAGAGGGCGGGTGCTTAGTACTTCCTGGATCTTTTAGGGTGTGTCAAGTTGGGCACCAAATCCCGAGGCACCCCAAAATCACAGGCCACTTATTGAAGATGTAGGCAGTCGTGTGTTGAAGATCCTCTAGAAACCAAGAGCCAAAGATCTGGGGTCTGCACAGCAAAGACCCTGACATTTTAAGGCTTCAAAAACAAGGGTGTGTGTATGTGTATATCCTGGCTTCTAATTGTGATCATCTCTATGCCTCTGTGCTACTGCCCAGGGCTGGTGAGATGAATAATCAGCTACCGTTTGGAGAGTATTAATTATAATATCATTATTAAGGAGCCTCTTTAGAAGAGTCATTTCAAAGGCAATGGTTGCAACATCCTAATGCTGCGATACAAGATATCCGACATCTCTTTTGATTTCTGAGAGATGTTATCCCTGGGAACCGTCAATATTTTCAACATTTGATCTAAGCAGCTCTCTGAAGCCCTCGTGTTTTTCAGCAGAACTATTAATGTGTGCGGGATTTTTTTAATGTTCATGCTTGAAATTATCCATATGAATTGCATGAGTTTTTTTCTCTCGCTTTTCACCCATGAATGAGTGAGAATTTCAAGATAAATCTCTCTCTTGTATCATGGGATAAGCTGTAACTGAATGAAGGTGAGGACGAAAGGAAGATTTTTAATAGAAGTTGCTGAGAGAGCCTGAACATTACTTTTCAGGACTATCATCTGTGTTTATTCTTCCGATATCGCATGTGTATGTTAAATCCTTCCTCAAAATCTATAGCATAAAGGGATTCTGCAGCCTGTCATTGTAAGAAAACCCATGGTATCTGGCCACGTAGTTTCGATGATAAGGGAGAGCGATGTGCAGAGGAAGGCTTTTGTATTCTTCTGCTGTATCAGCCATGACCTGCAATACTGATACCAGTGCCAAATTTCCGAACGGTAATCCCAACATATTGCATTACACAACAAGAGCCAATCACTAGCCACAACCTGCCTGTCCCATGGACACTGAAATCTTTATCCTCAGAGGGGCTGCGCCGTTGTGGGCGCTCGGCATCTCTGGACATCGGCCCCTACGGGCCAACCTGTCGGAACAAGTGATCGCAGTGTGGGCTGTAGGTAGGTTGGGGAACAACGCTGCAAGCTAGGGAATGTGTTCCCAGTCGTCTTGTCTGACTGGGCAGGGCCAGCTGCAGATTGATGACAATCCCTTGTATTTGCATTGCAGCCAAATTACCTTACTCAGCTGCAATAAGGAAAAAATACAGCTTGTTTTTCATTAGACAGGTTGAACCTGTGCCTCTGTGAGAGCAGCTTAAACCTGTAGCTATGGCAACCCCCTACAGGTTTTTCTAGGCTCTCTCTCGCCTGAGCTACCCCAGGGCTGTTCCCCACACTGCGCCAGGGTTTCTGTGGGAAGCTCCTCGAGTTCTGGTTCTCCTGCCCTTTGTTGGGGGACAAGGGGAAAGAGGAGGAGCCATGTCTTTTATGCTGATTCCTGCTGGTGCCCAGGGACTAGGAAGGGAGTGACTTCTCCTGCCTAATTTCCAATCTTATGAAGATATGGAAAGTTTGAAAGTTCAGCCTCAGCTCAGGCGCTGTTGGATTCAAATCACGCTTAGATGATGGGGAAAGAGATCAGGAGAATGAGAGAGAGAATAAATCCAATGGATAAAGGGGGAAAATGGAGCCGAGTACGGACAGGA